GCACCTTGCCCCGCCTACTGGTAGCACACCTTGCCCTGCCCCCTGACAGCACAGCTTGCGCCACCTCCTCACAGTACAGCTTGCCCCGCCTTGTCACAGCACAGCTTGCGCCGCCTCTTAACACGTTTCGTCACAGCGGGACTTCCTCAGGTATCAGTTGGTAAGACGCAGCTTGCTCGTGGCCCAAAGAGCCAATCCGGATTTCTCTCTCTGATGGGGACTGAGGCTGCAACTAAATCATATTGGGTACAGAGCCTCCCATGACACCTGTCACCCCTTAACTAATTTCCTGTCCTGGTGTCACTGAGACAGGAAGAGGAGGGATTATCTTCCCCGGGGACACTGACAGCGATATATATATATATATATATATGCACAGCCAGCAGGGGGACCTCTAGGCTCCTCTCTGTATTTACTATACACAGCCAGCAGGGAGAGCTCTGGGCTACTCCTCACATATACAGAGCTGAAGTTCAACCTACACGCACAGCTGAATGAATTAGGATGTCTACTTATGTATCCCCCCCAATCATACGCATATTTCCTATTGGCCGGGTTGGTGACTCTGAAGGCGGAGCCTGCACAGTATGAGAAGAGACGAGTGACACCTCATGATGACTGTGGGGTGATAATAAAAAAAATGAGGTAATGGGAGGGGTTTTTGAAAGAAGGCGGAGCAAGGCAATAAATATGGCGGTCGGTCTCCGTGGTTCCCGTCACTTCAGCAGTTTGAACTTCTTCAGGTGGCCGTGCACTTCCTCCTTGCGGTACGGCCTCAGGGCGATGCAGGTCGGGATGTTCTCCGGCTGCTCCATCCACAGCTTGTGGTCGATGTTCGCCATCTTCAGTGTCTCCGCCAGTCCGGTGAGCGTCACCTCGTCCGGGACCTGAAACAAGAGGTGGGTGAGGTTATAGCTGAACGTCCAGCATCATTCTAGGGCTTTCCCTCATAGCCTGTCATTGGCCCCGCCCCTTTCATTCATTGGATTTCAGTGTCACATGCAATAATGTAAATCCAGCTTCAGACCCAATCAGGGAATCACGTGACTTCCCCCGGTCCAGCTTTACCTCCAGGACCACCTTGTGCATGGTATCCAGCCCCTGCAAGTACTCCCGAGTCTGTGGGTGATCATAGTGCAGGTGAATGGCAGCGGTGGCAGCATGACACGCTTGAGCCACCAGGGCCCCCAGGGGCCACTTGAGCCCGACCTGCAGATCCTTTCGGAGCACCACGTACTGCACCAGCCCAGCCATGCCCCGGCCGCTCTCTGCTGTCACTGTTTGCTTTTGCTTGTGTTAATAAAGCTGATTCATAACACACACGTGGCCTCACCTCTGAATCTTCAAACCACGCCTGCAGCTATAGGATGAAGAGCGGCGATTGGTTAGCTCTGGAAAGTAGGTACCAATCACCGACAAAGAGCTTTCATAGTGCACGCCCCCATCGTTCCTTTTTCTAACCAATCACAGACAACCTAGATAAGCTTTATTGACAAAATAACACAGGCTCAAAGGAAGTCGCCTAGTGATGAACACTAGGGAACAAACAACCATTCTACAAAGCTGTCTCCGCCTGAAGACTGTGCACAGCCGCAATAGTCGTTGACAAAGTCTTATCAAAAATGGCCGCGAGATTAATGTGAAGGGCACCGAGATGGGGACAGGTTGAAGCGATGACGATAGCTGCGTTACTCTTCGTTCGTTAGCATTGGATGTTTCTTGGCGGCAGATTTCAATCCAGGTAAGGAAATTGTGATGATCTACAAGTCCCAGCGCAGACTTTCTAAACAAGAAAGGTTTACGGGTGTCTATCGTGGTCTCTCTTAGCTGGGGAGTCACCGGCTGCTTTATGGTGACCACCCCTTTCCCTCATCATTGGTCTATCATAGCAGCCACTGCTGGGGCCCTTATGCTAGAACCTAATATGGGGCCACTAGCCTTGGGGGGGTTAGATGTTTATCTGTACATTGTATCAGGTCATATACACAGTGATTGGGTTCTATAGCTTATATACTGATATATATATATATATACACACACAATACAAAAATGTCACATATGAGTTCTGTCAGTGACATATTACCTCACAAACATCTGTATTTGCTCTATCCGGCCAGCAGGGGGAGCTCTAGGTTCATTTTCTCATTTGCAGAGCTGAAGCTCAGATTACACGTTCAACTGAATGAATTAAAGGAGTGACCCCGCCCGCTTCTTTCTCCTCTGCGTTTGTGTGACATTTCAATGAGAGAGAGGCAGTCACAAAGGCAGAAGCTGACAGTTCCAGATGAAAGCTGAGCTCCAGGAATTATCTCCATATCCGGAGGAACGCTGGGGATGCAGAAAGTCCCTGTAGTGGCCTTTGATACATACAGCCAGCGCTGATCTCTTCCGGGTCCTGGTGGAGGGGCGCTCCTTTAAATTATCCAGCTGAGCATGTAATTTGAGCTTCAGCTCTGTAAATGTGCCTAGAGCTCCCCCTGCTGGCTGTGTATAGTAAATACAGAGAGGAGCCCAGAGCTCCCCCTGCTGGCTGCATATAGTAAATACAGAGAGGAGCCCAGAGCTCCCCCTGCTGGCTGTATATAGTAAATACAAGGAGGAGCCTAGAGGTCCCCCTGCTGGCTGTGTATAGTAAATACAGAGAGGAGCCCAGAGCTCCCCCTGCTGCCTGTGTATAGTAAATACAGAGAGGAGCCCAGAGCTCCCCCTGCTGGCTGTATATAGTAAATACAGAGAGGAGCCTAGAGCTCCCCCTGCTGGCTGTGCATAGTAAATACAGAGAGGAGCCTAGAGCTCCCCCTGCTGGCTGTGTATAGTAAATACCTGTATTTCAGGTGGAACACGGAACCGTTCTGCATGTTATCATAGAAGCTGCATTTAGCTTTGTATAGGGGGGGGGGGCGGTTTTTA